TCAGATAAGACGCGAACTTATTGATAAAACGATCACGTTATTATTGATTAAGCCCCTGTCTTACTTCTTTACCCATAACTGCGTCTTTTGGTTGAGCTAAATAAATAATGTGTTATCTTCGAGTGCTTATAGAAGGGTATTTAACCTTCCCCCCCACGACCCTTTTTTCTTTTTCTCTTCAACAAGAAGCCGAAAGATTCGGCCTGAACACGGAAAACTTGGATTTATATCATATTTGCAGGGGCAACTTGGGTTTTCATCTGGAGGTTTGCCAAACATGCTTGTCTGGCTGTTGAAAAGCAGCAAAAATAAATATTTCCCTCCCCCTTCCTGTTTAATCTCCGTGTGTGATAGTGATAAATAAAATAAGCCCCGAAAAAAGGGGAGGGGGTGGCGAAAAATTGACTTCGATCCTTCTTAAATACCTAGTGAGGATTTTTATTTTGGGTGGGTGAAAAAGTTTTCTGTAATGTTTTTGAAAGGAATAAGATTTCTTTTTATTTAAAGTTATGTAAAAAGAAAGGTGAATGGAATTTAATGCATTGTTTTCTTTGCGATGCTAGTTTTTGCTAAGGGTAATTAAAGATGCATTTAGATCAGGGGTTTTCAAACTTTTTGCTAACTATATTTCTGGATCATGCGTTTAAGTTTATTGTATTTCTTAGACATAACTCTTTTTTTAAAATGTTTTTCTAAAATTGAATAGGTATTTTTATTTAGTGACTTTTTATGTACTACTTAATCAGAAACTTCTTCGGATAGTATGACGGGATATAATGTATTCATCGATCGTAAAGTTTTATAAAAATCTTATGTTTGCCCTAACATATCAGGAAGATTATCTTTTCTTACCAGAACTTTCTGTAATTAAAGTATTTCAAAAGCAGTTGAGTTAATTAATTAGCACATTATTAAATCAATAACTTCATAATAAATAGTTTAAATTATCACAAAAAATAAGCATGATACATCTCAAGATAACCAGAGAAATTCGTACTTTATAAGATGAACGAAAATAGTAAAAGAGAAATTATAATAAAAATTCAAGGTTCAAGGCATCATTAAAAATTGTTTCCGGTCAAAAATTATTAAAATTTTATATATTGCCAATAATTTGTGATTATACAATACTAAACACTTATGTTTATAAAAACTATTTCAACTTTTAAATGGGTCATAAGAGGATAGAATGAAAAACAACAACAAAAATATAACTATAATATTTTTATGATATATTTGTAAAACTTAAAGTATATAATATTGTTAATTTATAACTGCATCAGACTTTTTATAAATGAATGTGATTTAAATCTCTAAAAAAAAGGGCGCGAATGCTATCCAAATAAATTACAAAATTTAGTAGTATATTAATGATTTGACTAAGGATTGAATACATAAAGTGTGACGGGGCCTTATCGCGACTTCCACTAATTGCCCTCTGGGGATTTCTTTGGGGCCAGAATGGCAATTCCTTCCATCCAACTCAAGAAAAGAACGTGTTTATGCAAACTAGGAATTGTATATTTTGGAATGTTAGCTTTCGCGATGATCTCTAAGTGGAGAAGTAATGCTAGCAGTAATCGCTAAGTGAAGCTCTGAGCGCTAAGTAAACTAAGTGAAGTGAAATAAGATTCTAGTAGAAAAGTCTTAATTCGGTGCGTCTTCTAGTAGTGCCAGTCTAGTTGAATTACAAGTGGATTCGAGACAAAGGAACATTGCCTTAGCCAGAGCAAGTCAGATTAAAAGTTAGCTTGAAGATTTACGGACCGTAGCTGTGCATGCAAGGAATTAGCGGTAAGCTTATTCAATTAAACTTTAAGGATAAAGCGGTTACTATTAGGATAGAAATTAATCTATAAAGATAGATTCAATGTTAATTGAGCTATTTATCAGTCATACGTGTGGCGTCTACTCACCCTTGATCATCTTCCTCTTAGACAAGTATTGTTTTTGTATTGTATATAAACTAAGATCATAATAAACTGATTTTAGTATGGCAGAGTTTAGTGGTTCTTCTTTCCTTCCCTCAGGCATAGGTCGCGTGAATAGTGGAGAAAGGGTATCCCCAACGGAGGTGATACCACAAAGGTATCATTTGAAAAAGAAATTTGACTATAAATGCACTCTGTAGCAAAAGAAATATTCGCGCTTATAATAAATCGAGTCACAATCAGGAAACTTCACACATGCGTAATTAAACATATATTTACATGAATAATACAAAACAGTAAAGAAAAGATAAAAATTTCAGAAGAAAAAAATCGTTATTTTAAGAAATTATATCCAGTAAGTATGTCAAATCACCTTAGGTAGATACACAGGATCACATATAACCCTTCAACAAATTCTGTCATAAGTATTAAAATTACGCTAGTAATTCAGGGGGAATACGGAGACACCAACAATTGTCTTCAGAAAACGTACCAGGCGTGTTCTATTTGCAAAATGTCTGTTGATCAATACATGGGAGTTCATCATATCTCTAAAGATATTAAGATATTGTCTAGGGGTTTGCGCAGTATGTGATCAAGCGTTGCCTTGCTGATAATTGGCTCTTGATTTGATAGTATGGACAGAGCTGGCGTTAAAATATCGTCTACGTAGCATTAACATGTAAAGTAAGTAAACCGTCAAATTGCCTTGATGGAAACTAGATGCGATCGAGTGTCCAAGCCAATTGCTTGCTACACTGTCACATCTTGTGTAATAGTCAAATTCCACTCAACAATAAATTCCAGATTGAACCAGATTCGAATTGTTTTTTCACTTGTATTAAATTAATTTCGAATAAAATTAAATGATTATTTTTCTTTAATTATCGCTTTCCTGCGTTGCAGCAATGTTTTGATTTGTTTTAAATTCTAAATTCTTACAGTTACATGCAAGGTAAAGCGAGTTTTTTGTTTATATAACATCAGATCCTTTTTATATCGTTAGACCTCATTATCACGAATTTGCAATGGATTCTCGAACTTACAAAAAATATTGTTTCAGGACATTCTGTATGCATGGTTAATGCTTAGAAACAGTTTCTGAACATTTGTGATGAAGTGAAAAAAAAATCATGCACGAGTACTAAGGATATAATAGATAAACGAGGGTCTCCAAACATTCTAGGTCTGAGCTAATTGAAAAGGTATAAGTCTAATAATCAGAATTGGGTTTTGGTTTCATATTGCAATAATATGTGTTGAAGGTGCCAAGAATAAAATATTTCATTCAAAACATTCAAAACACTTTTCTCACATAATACATGCGATAAGTGTAATATCTTAAATTTCTTTATCGGGTGTTATACCTGTCGTTTCTGAATTGAGTATCATTTGAAAATTTATAAATTTCTATGCAATTATTTTTAGGTTTTCTTTATTTTTCTTTTAAAAAATTAGAATTCTTATTTCATGGAAAACATTCAGTTCCTATTTCATAATAGTTTAATATTACCTGCTTCCTTTGTCTGGGTTTACGTACTGTAATTCACAGAAATTTTTTTAAATAAAAATGTGCGCGATATATAGAATAATTTTTTTCATCCTTTACAATCCAAAAACAAACCCATATTAATAAATTTAAATTAATTTATTTCTAACATATATTACACATAAGAAATTTGTATGTAAGAAAAGTAGTCTTATGTGATATCTCAAGTAATATATATATATATATATATATATATATATATATATATATATATATATATTATTTTCGTAAGGATTTAGCTCCCGAATTAGGAAACTAGTAATTTTCTGTTTTAACAATAATTAACATTTCTTCATTGAATTTATTGAAAACTAAGTAAATTATTATTTAAGATTTATTACAAGACATTATATATGTACTCCTATTTCTAAAGCTGTTTCAATTTTCAATTTCTACTCTGTCAGTTCACTCTCTCTTTCTCTCTCTCTCTCTCTCTATATATATTATCGAAATACTCTATCAAAGAGAGATGACAAGCGAAACTGAGAAAAATTGAAATTTCAAGGCAACCAGACATTGAAGGATAAATGAGAAATTAAAAATATAATAGTGCTTAAAATATCAAAAATGGAATGTACATTAAAATAAACATTGCTGACTTAGGACAGCTTATATAAAAATAATTATATAAAAGCAGCATTGAACATGTTTTGTGGCTAGCCAACCTTTTCCCTTTATGTTTATTATACTTAGCAAAAGTCGATTGGAAATAATGGATAGAATATCTAAATTCAATACAAGATAAAGGTAACTTACCTAAAAATTGCATTCAAAAATGCAGTGCCCGCGCTAAATCTAAGTAGAATTTAATCAATTTAATACCAGATTCTAAACTCAAATGCAAATTCAAAGCATGGGAATAGCTGAATTGTAGCAATTAACAAAAGCATGAAAAAATAGAAATAAAAACCTAAAAAGAGGGTTTACATTCGACCATAACTTTAGGAACACTAGGATTTATATTAATAAAAAAAAACACATTATTTGATCTAATATAAGAATATGGAGGTAACTATCTAGGAAAAATGATAAATTTATAAAAATAAACTATTATTATTCTAGGGAATTTTAATCCTTACTATTCAGAATTTCTGTATTCAAATAATTATTATTAAAATTAATTGGGTATTTTTGAATTAAGAAACATTTAGCGAAATGTTTATAGTTTTTTGCTTGTTCTGATTTTTTTAAAACTAGAAATCTATTGCGTTGTATATAATTAATAACAATATTTCTGAATATATAAACATGTACATTACTCTCCCAATATGTGAGGTACTTTTATAATATTGAATTTAAATTTTTCTATTTTTTATATATATATATATATATATATATATATTGTTCAATTTTTTAATCATCCATTCAAGTTCAAGTATATTTTTTTTAAAATTTGTAGTGGATGACACTTGATGTTAATACAGTTTTTTCAAATATTAATTTATTCATTAAATTAAAAAAAGTAACAACAAATGTAATAATCCATCAGCATTCAAAAAGAAAGGAAAATTGTCGGTTGTGTCCCTGTAGCGCATTGAATAGCGCGTTGGACTTCTAACTCAATGGTCGTGGGTTTAAATCCCACCTGGGATGGCCTAATTTCTGAGAATGTGCTTTTTTTTACACTGTCCTTTTTAATTAGAATAATTAAATTTGTGATTAATGAATAAATAGTAGCAAACAAAAACAAAATAGTCCAACACCCTATATAGAAAGGAAAATGAAAAATTCGAGGAAAATCACTTTCTATTTCATCACTTAATATTGTGATTCTGTCATATGTATACACATGTGTATATATTAGTTCTAATTATTTAATAAAAGTAATTAAAATAAAATTTTTCTTTGTTGACCTAAGTAAGAATTGACTTAATTTTTTTTGCATATTACTTGTTATATATAATAATTAACATATCTTACTTAAATTTATTAAAAAAACTATTTAAATTATTTTATTTAAGGTATTATTGTACTCCTACTTCTAAAGCAGTTTCATTTTTTCCTTTATTTTTAATTACACTTAGAGTAATTTTTGCTCTACAAGGACCTGATCAACCATCAAAGCAATCTTTTCAACATGACATGGGTAAATGTTTCCCTCTAGAAACAATGTAGCCAGAAGCCTTGGAATTTGAAGCTCTATTGATCTTGTTTGACATAGTACAACAAAGTGAACTCTCAGTCTGTTACAAAGTTTGGTTAAGTTACCCGAAGCGTAGTTAATGGTAAGAAAAGAAATCGGAAAAGTGCTCTGCTTTAAATTAAGCTAATTAGAGCTTACTACTCTGAAGAAACAATTACTCTTCATCGTTATATTCTTTACTCCCATCACAAAATATCTCACAACTTGATGGAAATACTGAAAGAACAGTGCATAAAGGAATAAAATTATGGGTTTAAAATATTTTTGTTGTAAAATTATTTTTGAAAGCTATTGGATTAGTGTTGTATCACTTTAGTTCAGTGTTTCTCAAAGTTTTAACATTCGCGACCCAATATTCAATCATAATTTTCGTCGCGCCCCCCTTCATACAATAATAATGTATTGAATTCAATAATACTATACTTTCATGACATCCGACTTTAACCTCTGAAGTGCCACCGGCGTATATAAACGTCTCACTCACAAAGCGTTAATTGCCCCGGACGTATATATACGTCTTTTCGAAATACGATCTTTTTCCGTGTTGCTATCCATAAAATTATTCCGAAGGCTTTGGAATGCAATAAAAAGGGCCTGATAATGGAAAAGATTGATAATTTTTTAAAAGAATTTACTTAATTTAGATTATTTGCTTCCTTATTCCTCCCAAAGCATTACATAAGCACCTACGTGGAAACGGTTCCTTGAGAAGCGAATCGCGTAATTTTTAATCGCAATTAAAGGGGTTTAAATTTTAAATCTACCATTATAAAATAAGTACTAATTTTTTTGGGTATAATTTTTTTATAAAAAATCCCATGGGGTCACTGGTAATTATTAAACTAGTTTTTTAACAAATATTGTTAAATTAATTATAAAATATAGTAAGTAGCACTGATAATTTATAATTAATATATCAGTGTAAATTTTTATTTTATTTTTATTTATTCAGAATGTGTTTTGTTGCTTTATTTTCAGTATTTTAATAATTTTTTTAAATAATTTTTGTTTTTCAAATTTTTTGATATGGTCGCCCCCCTCGTAAATTTCCGCCCCCCGGGGACCGATTTGAGAGACACCTTTTTTTTATTAAAAAAATTTTTAAAAAAAATTTTTACTTTTTTTGGTACGTAAAGCCTTAACATGACAATGTAGGATTTTTTTTCTTTTTTTGCACTTTTGTGTTATGCAATATAATAAATTTGATATATGAATTATAATGTGACGGAGTGCTTAGTTTTATAGCTTGATACGACATGAATAATACAGGAAAAAATTTCTAATTTTTCGATCACCCACTTTCGTGAAAAATTTCTATTTCATATTATACAAAATAAGATACATTTATTCAGTTCCTATTAATACACTATCTCCCAAAATATATCTTGTTCAAATTTTTAAATCGTTATAATAAATATATTTAAAAAGTCATCAATTGAACTGAAATTTAATAAACACGATTATTTCGATGACAGTAAAGTAATTTAATTATAATTAATAAAATTATTCATTATTATGAAATTTCTATTTCATATTATACAAAATAAGATACATTTATTCAGTTCCTATTAATAGTTCACTATCTCCCAAAATATATCTTGTTCAAATTTTAAATCGTTATAATAAAATATATTTCAAAGTCATCAATTGAACTGAAATTTAATAAACACGATTATTTCGATGACAGTAAAGTAATTTAATTATAATTAATAAAATTATTCAAAAATTATAGATAACAACGATGGTATCATTTTGGCGCCCTGCGACCCTTTGGCTGGTCAAAATTTTTAAAGGGTTTTTTTTCTCTCATTTTAAAGCGCTCATTTGAGCTGAAATTTTCTGCACTCGATTGTTTTGGGTGACAATACGATAATTTAATTATAATTAATTAAAAATAATTGACTGAAACTAACTACTTAAAGAATTAAGGATGCAGTCACGTCGGCTTTATTTTTAGCGAGTTGGATCAAAACATTAAGAGATTTCTTTCCTCACGTTTTAAAGCAATCAGTTGAACTGGAATTTTATATACACGATTGTTTTGGATGATAATACGATACGTATACGATACGATTTGTTTTCAAATGAAGTTTTATTCAACTTCTAACTTTCCAACATGCACAAGAGACATAGCAATCGAAAGATAATAATGCAAAGAATAAGATTAAATAATAAAAAAAAACCCGATAGGTCTGTCTGTTTTGGGGTACCAAACCCCTTAATCAAAACCCCTTAAGAATAGGTTTCATGGAAATCGACTCAAAGTGAGGAGGGCATTATGCAAAAGCTAAATATATTTTCCATTTAGAATTTTAAATGTTGACATTTTCAGGTCTAAGATATTAATAATTAAAAAAAAAAAGTCATACAAAATAAGGAAATACCCAGCAAAATGGATGAATAATGGTTTAATCTTCCATACTTTTTTGTTTCTGTATTTTTTATTAAATTCTGTATGTGTCAACTTTATTGCTTAAGTACTAATGTAAAGACTTAGGGATTGCCCCATGTTATAAAAACGCAATTATTTAGATTTAAGCTATTCAAAGTGTCGTTCAAGACTCATTTATTTGTAGCGTTTTAAAATTGGGGAAAGGAAAATAAAAAAAAAATATTTCTGGATATACAACTGTTAAAATGCAGAATTTTGCTAATCCATAAAGGCACTATGAGTTCTTTAATATAAAATAATCAATCAAGTTATCTTTATCTTTATTTTACATACAAAAGCGAAATTATCAACTTATCAAAGTGAATATTTACTTTGTGACAAATGGTAAAATTGGATTTATACTTTAAATCAGTGTTTCTCAAACTGTGGGATGCGTGACAACCCTATGAGGGGGGTGCGAGTATACTGAAAAGTCGAAAACAAAAGTTTATTTAAAAAGTTATTGATTTATTGAAAGTAAACAAAAAATACAGAAAAAATAAAGCATAAAATATACATTTATACCGATGGATTACACTTATAAATGTATTAGTACTGTGCAATGTATTTTATTATTAATTTAACAATACTAAGTTAAAAAACGTTTTATCATTATCAGGGACCCAATGGGCTTTTCATATATAAAATTATATGCAAAAATTAACAGTTATTTTGATAATTTGTACGGTTTATAATTAATCCTTTAAATGCCGATTCATAATTACACTTTTCTCTCCACAATACAACCATTTAACAAGTAAGAAAGCGAATGTGATGTATTGGGGGAATAGAAAAGAAAAAAATAAGCAAATCCTCTGAAATAAGTAAAATCCTTCGTAAACCCTGTCAAGGTTATCTTATTGCATTCCAAAGCCACCAGAATATAATTTTATGAATAGAAGTTCACAGAAAAGATCGTACTTTGGAAAGACGTATATATACGTCCGGTCAATTAACACGCTGTCTGAGCGAAACGTTTATAGGTTAATGTCGTATTGTAGGTTTAGCGTCAAAATGTAGTAGTATTGAATTTAAAACATGGATATTGTATGGAGAAGGGGGGCGATAAAATTTATGATTGAATATTGGGTCGCTAACATTGAAAGTTTGAGAAGCATTGTCTTAAATTTATAAACCTATTATATCCAAGGCGAAAAAATTGCTCAGGGAAATGTGATCTTCAGTCAAAAATATTTAACACTGCCCTGCTTTGTGTAATTTCTCCAAATCTAATATGGATAAAACAAGACGAGCAACTACAATGAAATATAAAACATTTCTCCGAAATAGACCTCGCGCTTACTTTTCTTTTCTTATGAAAAAGAACCATTTTATACTATTTGACAGTTTAATCTTTTTTATCTTTTGCAGTCAGCTTAAGCCTCGCAGCCATCCGGATGTTGATGATGGACGTCCCCAGTCCCACCAACCAAGGCGAGTCCGTGGAGCTCATCTGCAGCTACGAGCTCGACGAAGACAACCTCTATTCCGTCAAGTGGTATAAGGACGACGTCGAGTTTTACAGATACGTCCCAAATGATTGGCCGCCTGGACAGTTCTTGCCACTCGACGGTGTGCGTGTTGATGTAAGCGCAATTTCATTTATTTGGTTTCATCTTTCTTGTTAATCTTTAAATCGAGTTTATACGAGTGTTTATGTTTGGTTAAATGTTAGGATTACATAGTTCTCGAGGTTAATTAAAGTTTAAAATTTTTTAAAACCACATAATCAAATTCTCTTTTTAAAACCCAAAAAAAAAAAAAAATAATTTTTATTTAAACAACAAAAAAGTTATTTAATTTACTTTTTATTAAACAATTACAATTAATATAAATATGTATATGCACATATGACAGAATTAAAATACTAAATGATAAAATTTAAAGCGCTTTACTGGCGTTTTCCTTTTCCTTTCAAAGTATCGTGTTGGCTATTTATTTGTTTTTACTTTTATTATAATTAAATTAAATTTTCAATAAAATAGTACAGTAAAAAAAAAAATTACTTAAAAAAAAAGG